TGTGAGTCCTTGCCGGACGACTCCAGAGCTCTTCTACCCGGGTTCGAGTCCTGCAGGTTTACTTTCCCGTCGCCGAAACCCTTCGCGACGTACCCTCGTATTTTCATCTTCCCGTCGCCGGAACCCTATGCGACGTACCCTCATGCCCTGCAGGTTCGAGTTTTGTTTTCTTTTCTCTCTGTAACCGCAACTTAAGCAAGCTTTCCAGCCTACACCACTGCCATCTCGGTGTAAGTAAACAATCTTTTAAAACTACCGCTACGCGTCCGTGCCTAATTCCAGCTCGAAGGCCTTCCCTCTCCGCCCCGGCGTGCCCGGGCTGCTGGCCACAGCCCGCATGCAGCGCGAAAAGGGCTCGGGTCGCTCCCGGCCCGCACAACTTGAAACATTGTAAGTTGAGGACTGCCCGTAATAATGTTTTCCTCCTGCACTCCATCTTTCCTGGGGTGATCTGCTCTCTCTGTGAAAAGTTATCTTGATTTGAGACAACTCTCTTCACTAAATAATCTGTAATTCCTTGTCATCCTCCTGACCCCCAAACTACAGTGTCATTCCATAAAATGAATTTCTCCTGTTGAGAGAAAGATTTTTTTTTTAACAGCCACTTGAGAGACTTTCTATTTTTTAATGAACCCATACTTAGTGATTTAGTCCCTCTATCAGGGGCGGGCAATTATTTCGGGTGGAGGGCAACTTACTGAGTTTTGGCAAGCTATCAAGGGCTGCATGACAGGCAGCCAGGGGCAGATAAATATTAATTTTCTAAGTTTTTTAGGGGCCCTGCAGGCCAGATAGAATGGCCTGGTGGGCCGCATCTGGCCCGTGGGCCATATTTTGCCCACCCCTGCCCTATATAGTATTTAGCATCATGATATGCAGTTGAAGTATGTGAAATATTAGTTTCTGATAGTTAAGTATCTAAAATATTATCTCTAATAACTATTTTAATTATGATACAATTTTCCATTTATACACAAGCAACTGAGAACTAGCATGAATGAATCCATTCAGAAGTCTTACTGATTTGAGTACACATATTTTTGCCAGCTGCATGTCCAAACAGCACAGGTTCTCCATTAAAATGAAGGAAGATTTCTTATGCTGATGAGGAAGAAGCATGCTGGGAGTTGGGCTTGAATTTCCTAGGTCTCCTCCAAACTGGTGACAGATTCTTGAACTATTCCAATAATTCAAATTATTTCTGCTAGTGGGTTGCCAAGAGCGCCTGAAGGAAGAAATCCAACTGGCAGTATAAACTTACAAAAAACTCTTACCTATTAAGAAGGCACACTAATGTTGTGCAACTAAACAGGATTCAGATATGGAACTATATCAAATTATTTGCTTGTCTCTGAATTCATGATACTGCCAAGTCATCACTTCAGACTAAAAAATAAAATAAAGGCAATATCCGACACAATCTGATTCTAACTGTGTCATGTTTGACAGGCACATTAGGTTGTAACAGTTACATGCTACCAAAATAACCAGCCACGACATAATTACTGTCTTTTTCACTCTCTACTATCTTATGAATTGTCCACAGAAGCTGCAGCTACTATAAAGTAGATTAATCTAGAGAGAGCAAATGCCATGCAAGAGAAAATAATATGCATATGGAGTTATCTTCCTTCAAAATAAATTGTAGAATACCACTAGTACTAGTAATGGCTTGCTAATGGCTGAAGAAAGTGGCTAAAAAAAGATTATTAAAATAAACTAAGTTATCTTACCATATCTCAAAACTGACACCATCACAAATAGCAACTAAAATATTTGTGCTAATATTACTATTTAAAATTCTATTTCACCTTCAGATATTTAAATGACACTTAAACAGCCACATAACTATAATTTTTGGCACAATATGGATTCTATATACAGTTGTATAGTTATGCTCACAAGAGCTGCCCACTTTCTGCATAGGCTCAAGTGTGGAACAGAATCTCAAGGGCACGATCCTAACACTGGGTAAGTCCCAAAAACTTTAGTCACTAAAAAACCACCACACCTAGAAAGTGTTTGACAAAAGAGATGGTTGAACTGAGCCCTCCCACCTTTTAGCCCAGTAGCTTAGTGGTTAAGCCACTTGACAGAGCTTGTTAGAGGGGCCAGAATTTTTGAGACAGAAAGAATTTAGCCAAGTTGAAAAGCTCTAACAAGAAACATTAATTTCTCATCATACAATAAATTGTTAGAAAAAACAAACTAAATCATTATCCATCCACCACTGGTGGAGTATTGGGGAAAGAGAATCACATTAATTTGTTCTCTGCGTTGAAGTGATCAGATCTCATTCAAACTGTGGGACTAGAAAAATGGACAATTTATTAAAGCTCTGCTCTACAAAAAAAGTATGCATCAACAGGTATTGAGGTTATACATAGGAAACCCTAGGAAAATACAAGTATACTTTACCTTTAACATTTTTTCCAAATCCCATAGACGCAGCAACTGCACTCTCCTCTTGTCTTTTGCCGTTTGTTTTCTCTTTCATTACATCATCATCACTTGAAACATCATCAGAGCTCATCTTCTTTTTCTTCTTTTTTTTATGTCGAGGTGGAAGCTTTTTTGGGAAAGTAAACATGGGGAATATCACAAGGAGCATTGCAATGGCACAAAGGAGGAATCCACTCCACCTACAGTCAGGAAATATGAACAGCAGTTGAGAACCAACACAGTGTGAGACAAAAATGACCAAATAAACTACAGTGGCTATCACACTGTAAATCACAGTCTGTCCCAGCTTTTGAAAAAAATATTTATCAGCAGAACACCACAAAGCCTCTTGTAAAATGGATTATACCTTTAGAGTCACAAGCTAAGGGTCTCCCCCATGCACAAACCTCTCCTTCCCCATAAATAGGTGGTTTGGAATCGTCATTGGAAAAAAGCAGACTTAGTCCCCTTAATCACACAAAGAATTCTGCAGGGCCTTGAGGACATGCATGCAGGGAATGTATAGGCTGGAAGACAAGGCAGTGACTGAGTAGCTGAAGGAAAGCACTCATCCGCCTAAGAACCCAAAAGTTTAACTTTACCGAGGACCCCATCTATTCAGAGGAACCTCCTTTAAGGAGGATTTTAAGTGTAAGTGAATCTCTAACAGCCAGCAAGTAGGCCAGCACATGGCAGCAAGCTCATGTTCCAGTGGAAGAACTCAGAAAACTTAAGAAGGGAAACTATAGAATCACATGACCTCCTTCATGGGGATTTAATAGAGAAAACAATTCACCTGTAAGGGAGGATTCACTTGTAAGGGAGGAACTCAAATTTGCTCCATACAATTGCTTGAACCTATGGAAAGCCTGGCTTTCACTACAAAAATTCTGAAGTCCAACTGTGAACTCCTTTTACACAAATGTAAATTAATGAATGATCAATATACTACATCAAAAAATCAATGATATTACGCCAGCTCAGAAACCCTATGAGAGGGGAATCTGTTCCTTTGACTTCAAATAATATGCTTTCAGGCTAGGTTTTTTAGACTTGTTCTATCATCTGATGCCCAGAGTTCTATCCCTGAGCCAAATATTTCATAGTATGTGTCTGAAAATATTAATAGAAGGTGACAGGACTTCCTATCTGAATAAGAGAAACAGTATTTGGCTTCATTTATGCAATGCAAGAGAAATGCATGATGTACTTTAAAATGGAACAAAATATGCCACACAATGCACAGATGATGATTTGTGGATGACGAATTATGATGGTTAAAAACAAGTTTAAATCCTGAAAATGTAGCATCATGTTTCTAGAAAATTTTGCAGGCAGCTCTCATAAGGCAAATATAAGTGACTGAAAGTTTTGACTAGTTTTGATGTTACATAAGCAGAAAATCCCTTATTCACTCATTTTAGCTGATAAAATACATGGATTAGAAATAGGACTTTTAGAAGGATTAGTAGGCACTATCAGGGAATAAATTACTACAGTACATAGAAATATAGCAGAAATTCCTTTTAGGATATCAGGGAGAGACACTACAAAGCAATGATTAAGGAAATGGTCTTGGCAATAATAAATAGAAATAAGACCATCCACTCAGCAAAGGACACTGGCATGTATCAACAGGTGAAATTAAAATCTAAAGAAGCCATTATGGCAGCGTACCAAGTGCTGGATATGTCATAATTGCAGCACAGTACATAACCTTGTGTCTTGCTTTACAGGAAAGATGGCAAAGAAATGGAAAATAGACCAGAGTGGACAGCAAGAATAATAAGTAATTTCACTATTAGCAATTAGGATACAGCAGACAAAATCCTGGAGGATACCCCAAAGGCTTCTGAGCAATAACTAGGCTTTCAAAAGGAATGAAAGCTAGAAAGTACAAATGGCACAATATCTTTCAAATCCTTGTGTGGAATCATGGGGAAAGTAGTGTGAGAAGAGCCAAGCATAAGTAGACTCAAAATTAGGCAAATAGAAATGTCTCTTCAGATTGACAGACTTCCAAGACATGCAGAGCCACCTTCCATGAGAATATATCATTAATAAAGCATGGTAGTCATCTTAAAGAATATAGATTTTCACGTAATTTATCTCTGAATTCAAGCAGATATCCAAGTATAAATTACTGGATCGTTGTATAATTACGATAATATTGAATGTAAGGTAATTTAAAATGCATAGTGCCTGGAAATTATTATTTGGTTACAACTTAGACAATTTAGCCAAAGATGCATTGAGTAAGAATCCAGAATTGCAGTGACTTGAGCAAAGCCAAATTCTAATTTTTCATTGATTTTCAGCAGAATATAATAAATCCTCAGAATGGCATGATTATTGGTTTTAACTGACCTCAGAATATCTAAGTTAAATTGCTTCTGAGAAAGAAGCCTTCTCAGTACAACACTAGGAAGGTAGTTGTTACTTCTCTCTCTGTTCTTTCCATTCTCAAAGGGTATTTTTTTACACATGCACACGTCACAGCACCAGGCACTTTGAAAAGCACCCAGCACTGCGGCGCATACAGTTGTATAAGTAGCAAAATGTGTGTCAGCGCTGAGAAAATGGCACTGGTACGCTTTTGAACTAAAACACCTTGGAGGTGCTTTAATTCAAAAGCGCACCGCCACCATTTTCTACGCACTGATGCACATTTTGTCACTAATACAACTGCACACAATGCAGTACAGTTTGCCTCAGCTCACGTGCGGAGCAGACTCAATTAACTGAGTCTGCTCCGAAGCAGTGAATCTCTGGTGCATCGGTGGAAAAAAGTATGGGTATAAATGCCCCAACATATCAGGACTTTTAAGAGAAATACTAAATTTTTTTTAATCTATTTCTTTAGAAATCTGGTGATGTCAATTACATAGCTAAATTCTTTTTCAAGTTTTTGAGTAAATATCCATTGCATGGATCATGGCTATTACCGAAGTTAAATCAAAATCCAGCATCAATCCTTGTCAGGCACTATTGCAAAGCACTCCATAGGAAAAACAAATATGCAATAGGTAAAGGCAGACATCACCCGTGTCTTGCCACAGCAACAGAAAGGAAATTGTTATGTTAGCATATGTTTATATGGTCTTCAGAGGAAAACAAAAACAACCTATAGTCAGTCCTTGCTAGTCTAATCTGAGAGAAAAGTTTTCTCCTGGCCTTAAATCTGACAATTGGCCTGATCCTAAGTGCATCAGCCAAACACTTGACTGCTGGTAAGAATTTTGGTAGAGACCTACCTAAATCACATGTTCGTGGATTTTGTGGAAACCTCAAAATCTGGGCTTACCTGCAAAATCTTGCCCATGGGAAGAAAAAACAACTTAATAAAAATAAGTTTTTATTAATTCTTCCCCTCCCAGGAGGGCCTTGCAGCCCAGCCCACCCAGGAGGAGAAGGTCCTGGTTAGTGAGGTGTCACAAAGGGGGGGAGCAGACAAGACGGTGGCTGCCCCTCCTCCCCTGAGGCCTCTGCCAATCAGTGCTTAGGGGTGGGGCCAGACGAAGGTCAACCAGCAGTCAAGACGGCAGCCACATCCTCATCCCACCTCACCTCCAAGGCCTCTCCACCAGTCAGTACTGAAGGGTGGTGCCTCTCTGACAATCAATGCTGAAGGGCCAGGCCATCACAAAATGCCCACAAAATGGGCTCTTCATGCCAGGACAAAGCCAGGAAAATGACTTTGTTTCACCATGAGCTAAGTAAGTCCCTAAATATCCAGATACTCCATTCAATCCCACCCCACAGCTATGAGTATATCTATTGCTTCAGAAGAAGATAAAAAATCCCGAAGCATAGAAACTAAATAAGTTATTTATAGGGGAAAGTGGACAATTATTCCGAGCTACTCCAGCCAACCAGCAGCAGCTCTGAAATGTGGAATTACTACATAGGGTTGGCATTAAGTTTCCTTCCCTATAATGGGAATATCATATATTTGTATCCAGGTATCACAAATATTGATTACTGGTTCCCCACACTCAGCACACATTAAACCCACATGCAGGGCAGCCCATGCAGAACTGCCCATGAACTTGCCAGGCAGTTGGAGCCCACCGACTCCCACCACACATGCATTTTGAGGCATACAAAACATCCACAATGATGTTCCACATTAAATGCCATTTATGACAACTGAATGTATGGTATGCTACCATTTACCATGCGATAAATGCCAGTTCTGCCAGGGGCCGTTATGGGTGCAGCTCTGTTCCATGCCTGTGGCACAGAATCACTTGAAAACTAAAATGCATTAATTTAGTTAAAGTCTGAATTTAATACTGAGGTATGAGCATGAAGGCTAGGGACAGATATTACACACAGACCAGTGTAAGTGACTGGAAACAGGTTTAAACCTGTAACAGAACAGAAGTTCAGCACACACAAACCCGTTTCAAAATGGTTGAACCCAGTTTAAAATAGACCTGGATGGTTGTGGTATCACACTTAACCGATTTCGGTTAAACCAGTCTGTCAAACTTCTGTCCCAGATCCCCTCCTGACTCAAGTTACTTTGCAGTCTCCCAGCACCCCAGCATACTTTGAGGCCCCCTGCAACCTCCCCCCTCATAGAGCGGCCCCCTGGAACACGGCTCACGCTCTGGTATTCCAGCCCAGTGCCAAGCTGACCCAACCCCAGGGCTGTCACAGAGCTGCATGCACAGCTCCTCTGCCCAGCTACAGGCCCCAACTCTGGGCAGCATGCAACCCAGAGCAGGCAGGGTCCACACAGCCCTGGCTTGGCCAGCATGCTTGCAGGGAGGGGATATGGCAGGGAGCCAACAGGGAGTCTTCCCTCAGTATCTGCACAGCCCCAGTTTGGCCAGCACACAGCCCAGAGCTGGGGTGGGGAGGTGCACAGGAAGAGCCAACACAGACGCTTCCCCCAGGGTCCCTGTTGACTCCCCCCGCCAGCTCTGGGCTTTGTGCTGGCCCAGCCAGGGATATGTGGACCCTGAAGGGAGCATCTGTCTTGGCTCCCTATGCTGCAGCCGGCCCAGCTGCCAGATGCCTCGGGCTCAGTGTGGGGAGGGTCTGCAAGGGGTTGGGGCCATGTTCCCCACAGCCAATAAAGGAAGGCCCCAGCTGATCTAGGCTCAGCTGCCCTCAGAAACATCCAGCAGGCAGGGAGGTGTGCAAGAGTCCCCTCCCCCACCCCTGACCTGGCTTCTGGTTCTCGCCAGTGCAGGCATCTGTTTTCCCCCATCGAAAGAGAAATGTGTGTTCTGTTCTCTCCTGATCCCACCTGCGCAGTTTAGAGAAACCCACATGGATTGATCCAATTACCCCTTGGGCTTTTTGACTATCTGTACTTAGCCAAAATGTTATGGCCTGTGATACAAAGAAGGTCAGGTTAAGACCAGAAAAGTCATTACATACATAAAATCCAGAGCTCGGATTTGGGACATCATGGCGATGATCCCAGACCTCATCCGGCCCTCTGATCACTACCCCTTGGTCCTCACCCATGTGGGCACTAATGACGTGGCCAGGAGTAGCCCACACTTCTGCGCAGGAGACATGCTAGGGCAGGACGGGCTATATCTCTCCCCAAAAGGTAAGTGTGTTTTCTCTTCCAGGTTGGCTGATCTTGTATGGCGAGCTTTAAACGAGGTTCATCAGGGGATGAGGATGCAGAGGGTCAGGGATGATCTAGTTAGTGAACTTTTGGAGGGGCTGGACATGTTTAAATCAGTAGGTCCAGATGCTCTTCATCCAAGGGTCCTGAGGGAACTGGTGGAGGTCCTGGGTAACTATATGCCAGTTAGTCTCACCTAGGTCCTTGGGAAGACCTTTGAGAAAATTATCAAGGAACACATCTGTGGGGGCCCAGCATAGGAGGTAACGCTCAGGGGCAACCAACACAGGTTCATTGCGGGCAGATCCTGCCTGACTAACCTTGTTTCCTTTTATGACCAGGTCACAAAGTCCTTGGATGTGGGTGTTGAGGTGGATGTCGTCTACCTGGACTTCAAGAAGGCCTTTGACACTGTTTCTCATCCCATTCTCATAAAAAGTAGGCAACTGCGGCATTGATACCTACAGTCAGATGGGTGGCAAATTGGGTTGACGGTCGCACCCAGAAAGTGGTGGTGGATGAGTCATTTTCGACCTGGAGGGATGTGATTAGTGGAGTTCCCCAGGGCTCAGGCCTGTGCTATTCAACAGCTTTATCAGCGACTTGCAGGTGGGCATGGAAAGCACACTGTCCAAATTCGCTGATGACACAAAGATGTAGGGAGAAGTGGGCACACTGGAGGGGAGGGACAGCCTCCAACTAGATCTAGACAGGTTACAGAGGTGGGCAGATGAGAACAGAATGGAATTCAATGCAGACAAGTACAAGGTGCTGCATCTAGGGAGAAGGAACCAGCAACATACCTATAGGCTGGGGGACACCCTTCTCAACAACACAGTGGCTGAAAGGAATCTTGGAGTCATTGTTGACTCCAGGATGGACATGAGCTGCCAATGCAAGGAAGCAGTCAGTAAGGCTAACCGCACCTTGTCATGCATCTACAGATGCTTCACAAGCAGGTCCAGGGAGGAGATCCTTCCCCTCTATGCAGCGCTGGTCAGGCCACAGTTGGGGTCCTGCGTCCAGTTGTGGGGGCTGCACTTCAAGAGGGATGTGGCTAACCTTGAGAGGGTCCAGAGGAGGGCCACTCGCATGGTCAGGGGACAGAAGGCCAGGCCCTACAAAGATAGACTAAAGGGCCTGAATCTATTCAGCCTCCACAAGAGAAAGCTGAGATGGGATCTGGTGGCCATCTATAAACTCACCAGCAGAAAATAGGCGAGGCTCTGTTCCCCTGGGCACCACCTGGGATAACAAGGAATAACAGCCACAAATTGAATGAGAGGAGGTTCAGGCTTCGTATCAGGAGGCATTACTTTACGGTTAGGGCTCCCAGGCTCTGGAATGAGTTCCCAAGGGAGGTGGTGCTCTCCCCTACCTCAGGGGTCTTCAAAAGGAGGTTGGATAGATATCTGGCTGGGGTATTATGATCCCAGCGCTCGTTCCTGCCCAGGGCAGGGGGTCGGACTTGATGATCTGTTCAGGTCCCTTCTGACCCTAGAAACTATGAAAGTACGAAAACAAGAATATATGTAACCATACTCAAACTAGCTGTAATCTAGTAAACTCAGCAGCACAGAGTTCAACCCTGATTGTAAAACACAGTGAAAAACTAAAGTATTGGGTGATTATCCATACTGAGCTCCATTCTGGTGAGGCTGGATCGACAGCACTACTATCCAATTTAAGCCAGAAGCACGTAAAGTATAAACATACCCTATGTAAAGTTTAATCTGAATTCACGTCTCAAAATTATTTCAGTTACAGAAATCTGGAAAGCTATAAAGTACAAAACTTTCAAAAAAATAAATAAAAAGAAGTTAATTTCTGATTTGAGGTTGGCTACCATTTCTGATGTGATATGCTTAAAAATATTGTGAAGATTTTGGACTTAATCAAACATAAATCAAAACACTTTTCTGGCAACATATAACCTTACACAGAATAGGTTAACAAACATAAATCTGAGTGAATACTCTTAAGGCAGGACTGTCCAATTAGTGGCCTGGGAGTGGTATGAGGCCCACGAGGGGTTAAACTGCAGCCTGTGGCACGGGTGCTTGAGCTGTTGCACAGGTGCAGCTCTGGAACTCAGGGGTGAATGCCCCTGCCACTTGCCCCTCCATCCCCTTTCCTGCTGCTGAATTCGGAGTCTTCAGTCAACATTTGTAACTTAAATCAGGGGCAGGAGAAAAGAGGGTCAAGCAGCAACAACACCCTGGGTTCTGGAGCTGTGCCAAAGCAGCAGTTCCAGAAGCTATGCTGACAAGCTTCTGCCCCATCGCTGAGGGTGGATTTTCTGGCCTGCAGTCAGGATCTGGCCCAATGGGTCCAATAAGTTAAACAACCCTGTCCTACAGGTTTTAATTCACTGTGGAAAAAGAAATTTCCAAGTATAATTTGTAGGGGTCATGGGGATTGGCATATACACATATGACTGCAATCCTATAGTGGACAGGATTAACCAATTTGTACAATATCTCAAGCTGTGCCCAAAACCCTGTGACTTTGCCTAGTCGAAAAGGTACTATAGGGATGGTAGACAGCAGTAAATTCAAGATGACCTTCCCACGGGCATATTGGTGGTGGAGGTGGTGGTGGCAGTGGTGTTCAACCACTGGCTGAAGCTTTCTCTTGGGCTTAAACGGAGACTAAACCTTATCTCCAAGTTGGAGTGGAGCATCACAAATGAACTGCATCAAAGATCCAGCAGCACTAAAACACACACTGTAATTTCAAGGGTATTGAAGCACCTATTGACTTGAACCTGCAAGGCAACCAGGAGCTCAGAAGCAAAATGTAGACTCCAAGCCAGCCCTATGGATTTTGAATCCTTTGAGGTCCTCATCTTTGAGGCTTTCCATGGAAATTTAAAGTCACTCTTATGAGCTACTTTGGGAAAGTCAGATCCTCAGAGCCTGATGTATGCTCAGTATAGACCTTTCGAATGAAGGGAGTGTATTCAAGAAGATTACAATTCTTCCAGTTATAATTTGCTCAGAAATGCCATTTAACGAAAGCTAAGAGTGATGACTGTTGCAGTGCAACAGCTGGATGCCGTCACTTTTTGGTCAAGTAACTTAAGCTATCCAAATTCCTAACTATAATTCTTAATTACACAAGATACAAGGATACAAGAATGGAGATGCATTCTGGTCCTGAATTTGTACTTGAAGAATATATTAAATTTCTATGCTGACTGTATAATAACTTTGAGTATACAAATAATCAACTAACAGGTCAAGAAGTATAACCAACTAAGAAGATCAGTGTAATATTCTATTACAAAAATAGCTAGTTTATTCAGAGCAGAGCACTGAATAAACTAGCTCTGCAGCATGGCCTGGCTCAGTTTACAAGAGCAGAATGGGGTTTCTATGTTCTCAAGTGGTCCCTGAGCAGAGTGCTGCTCTGGATTCCCGTACAACCCTGCCTGATGTGATAGCAGGGCCCCCAAACCACTGCTGCTGCCATGCTCCGCATTATTGAATGATGGTATTTCATCCCATCATTCCTGTACTTTCCATAGGGAAGAAAACAGAGCACAAATGAGAGGGAGTCCTGTAGCAGTAGACAGCTAGTGCCACTGCATCCGTTTAATGATATGAGTTTGGGTATAGCAATTGTACAGCAAGCATACACTGCCTGTTAAATCACTGCTGGGGATAAAAATCTCTCTTGGATACTCTCTGTCTTTTTTCTCTGACCTCATTTTTAAAGAAATCTAACAAGTACCTTGTATTTCCTAAGTTACCCCATGCAGTTTTGAAAAATGACTGATTCTTACCAGTTTCCAATGAATCGAGGGTCGCTCTGGTCAATATAAACAGTTGTTCTAGGATCAACATAAAAACCGATAAGGACTCCTCCTAATAAATATCCTGCTGCGGGACCAAGTGCTCCCATTACATACATGATGGCTGAGAAAACACAAGTGGAAAAAAGCAACCCAATGTCATAAATCCGTAAAAGGAATTCCTTTGCATTAGTTCTCCTTGCTTAATAAAATATTCTGCAGAGGAATGTAAAAAAAAATCATAAAATAATAACAACAGGAACAGAGTGTTGACATTTTTTGGTGCAGTCCTTGGTCACATTACAAATGAACAATGCCTATTGCATTGGATTCAGAGATGAGTGAAATCTCCCATGAAAACTGAACCATGTTAAACATCTATCACTAGGGAATGAATATTTGAAATTTAATATTTTCAAAATACAGTTCTTAAGAATAATATTGTGCAAATTCTGTTATATCTCATATATAAATTATTTATTGCTATACATATTATTACGTATTTTAAAATACTTTTTTGGTTAAGACAACTTTTGTTCCTAATATAGTATTTTGTTCCTTATAATATCCTTGTCTTTCAAACTGAGATAATTTTTGGATGGAAAAAGATAGGAGGCAACTCCACTGAAGGATTTCCTGATACCTTGAAACTAGAGAACTGGCAACTGAGAATACATACATATCACCAGCAGCTCTATTTTCTACTGTTTCTGATTTTCATCAATAAATCTCAAAGTTGTATTTCAAAGGTCAGTGGATTATTCCTGTTTTCAAAATGAAGAAACACAGATATGCAGGGAACAGCTCTTTGTCCAACTATTGGGTGTGTAAATTGCAACTATGTATCTAAGTGGCTATGTACCATGATATTTTCTCCCAGTCAAGTCCCCAAAGAAACATTACTTTTGTAACATAACTTTATCTTAGTCTTTAGAACATGCCACTAGAAACAAAGCAGAGAAGGATGTACCCATTGCATTAATGGTTTTTCAGGGACTTGAATAGGGTGGAATAAGATTCTATGATTGAAACTTCACTTCCGAAAAGTAAACTTGAAGAGATCTCTTGAGCAATCAAAATGAGTTCCCTCATTTCCATGCTGTCATATGCCCCAAACCTCTGTCCACTGTATACCACAACCACAAAAACACCCATAGACAAGGGCATCACTTTTACCTTGGGCACTGCAATGGCAAAGAAAATACATTTATATGACACTAGGAAGTGGACCACAATCCATGCTATAGAAAAATGGTGCTCAACCCCAGCCCTGATCCAGCCAGGGGTGAAGCATGGCCTGGCCCTGAACTGGCTGCCACTGCTCTATGGTCTACAGTTGGCCCACAAGCCAGGGGTTGAGCACCCCTGATAGAGAAAAAGGCAAAAAATAATCAGGCTGAATTATGACCTGGAAAAGCACTCCTTCCTGACTCCAAATATGGTAGCTGGTTTTATCCTGATCATCACATAAGCAAGAAACACCAGTGAAAGATATACTGAGAGGTACCCAAAGCCTTGAAGAATGATCAAAAGTTAAATAAGGCATTCTGTCAGGGAGAAAAAAGGACTTCTTCCTGGCTATGATAGGCCACCAAGCAGAAGCTTTGAAGCATGGGATTACTAAATATCTTCCATGCATACAAGCAACCCACAGCAAGATCAAGTTCCTTTTCAGCCTCTCTCATGGAAATAACAAACATCTGAAACCACATATTACATATTCTGCTAACTATTCCAACAACAAACCTATCCTATCATACTATCTCTTCTATAAATTTATCAAACTCTTTCTTGAAGCCATTCAGGTTTCCTCAACCTAATACTTTATTTTAAAGTCCATTCCATAATGTTCCTCCTCTGAGTCCATCAAAACTTAACTCATCCTTCTAGTTTCCAGTTTAAATCTGTTCACAACTGCTTTGTACCCACTTGATCTGGTCCAATAACTTGAATAGCTCATCTCCTTCTCAGGCATATGAATATATTTATAAAGAGGAATCATAATCTCTCCCTACACTTCTATTGTTAGGATAAACAAGCCAAATTCTTTCAATCTCCACTCATAAAATAGGTTCCCTATTCTCCTAATGGAGACTCATCCTAATAGCCCTTCACTGCACCTGATCCATTTTAAAAGTCATATCTTTTGAACTTAAGTGACCAGAATTATGCACAATATTCTAAATGGTGTTTACCAATTCCTTGAACAGCGATGTCATATTGAATGTAATATTTGAATGCTTATAAAAAATGCCCATTAGCCAGTTTAGGAAGAAGACAAGATTCATCTTCTTATCTAAGCCATTGTTTTGGCCTACGTGCGGAAGGTCCTGAATTTGCTCAAAGTCTTAACTCTTGAATTTTATCTTTAGAGGCCTTTAACAAGGTTAACCTAAAAATGACCCTTAAGCAAACATCCCACATTCCGAGAAATCAAACCCTAGGAGCCTTTGAAAAGATTGGAAAGAAAGGAAATTCCCCAAAGTAATTAAATGATCAACAAAAGAAACTGAACCCAGTAGAAATCTGTTAAGAAAGATCCGAGCCCAAATTTGGGAGTAGTGACAGGTTTGGGTAGGAGGGGCCCAAGACGGCAACTCACTCAATAAAAACTGTAACCTACTGTCCCAATTTGGAGGTAACCTCACTTGCAGAACAACGAAGGAAGAATCGCAAGTGTAGGCCGGATCAGACTGATCACCTGAACCACCCTCTCCATGAACACGAATCTCTTAGTTCACACTGAAGCCGCGGAGCGCCCGAAAGGGACTGAAGGAAGGGGACTTAGTCCTATCAGCATTGAGGCCAGCCCACTGAACCGTACTACTGAGGCCAACCCATTAAATTGTACTACTGAGGAATGAAAGCATATCTAGGTGTTTGGCTTCTCGGAATTCTAGGATTGTAAGTATATTATGAAAAATAATAGTATTGATTCAAATTTAACTTTGAGTTGTAACTGTAGTTGTTTTTGTAATACGAATTCTTATAACATTGTTTGAGAAGGAAGTGCATTTGGAGCATTGTTTCTGATATATGTAGTTATTGTGTTCTTAATGTTTGTGGTATTTCTTAAAGCTAAGCAGTGTTATATGCGTAGCAAAGAATTTTAAAATAAAATTGTGTTGTATGAATTAAGTGTGCAATCATTGTTAAATCGTGCAATCGACTAACTACTCCCCCAGCCAGTGCATCAAACGAATCAGTAAGTTGTGTGGGATCTTCTCTATTCCATAACCCACTAGAGACAAGCAAAACTAATACTTCCCTGTCTCTACTAAAAATGCCTAACTTAGCCCATCCTTGAATCGTATTAGCCTTTTTTCATAGCCATACTGATAGGTCATGGCAATTTCATGGTTGATCAAAATACCTGGAAGCATCTCTTCTTCTGTCACCTTCAATCTGTGACACCCAGATTAGCATTTAGCATTAGCTCCTAGGAACATGACTTTATACTTTCTACTATTAATTTACTTAGCATTTTTCTTATTCCTGTACAGAAAGCTATCTAACTCCTCTTTAAGGATTTCATGATCTTAGGTAGATCAGACAGAGAAAGGGTTTCTTCCAGGTGGAACATCCAAAAAAAAAATCAAATTATGTTTTCTATACAACTTTATTCAAGGAAAAATATGTGCAAAATAATTCTGGATAAAGCACCAGGCTCAAGATCTAAAATGGCATCCAGATGCCTAACTCCTTCAAGTTCAACTGTCATTGATTGTCATTAGATACAAGAGCCTAATTACCTTTGACATTCTGGGACCATATCCACCACCTAGACCTGACTGGCACCAACACAATAACTGAGGGCAATAGAGAATTATTATTCTTTATCTACACTGTATCTATTGTTCTGAGTACCAAGGGACAGGTCAGGAGAGTACTCTAACAACTAGAGTGGAAGGCTCCAATCAGAGGTGGAACAGGGCAGCTCCCCACCCTGTGCAGCAGTTCTGGCTACCACTGGCTGCCATGTTATTTCTGTGCCCCACCCCCAAAGGCAACACCTAGAACTGCTGTTGTGGTTGCCCTCTCTCCTCCCCTCACTTATGTTACTGATTCCAAATTGTTATGGCAAGCTTCATTCACTTACATATTCCTAGAGACCTAGAATTGCATTACTGAAATGAATGATCTTTCCCCCTGTGATCCTAACACCCCTCAATATTGCTATTCAGATCCATAAGCAGCTGAAATTCAGGTCCTTGCAAAGATGGTGAGAAAGTCAAGGCAAATCTTAAGAGATCTTAACTAGTTCATATCTCTTTCAGTGGCACATGAAGGCAGAATATATTTAACAGTAAATGCAATAAGAATATGTAAAGATATGCTCTTCTAACAGCTGGCCAACAGCAAAGATATTAGTCTCTTGCTTTAAGTTCATCAATTCAGCTCAAATAATAAACACTTCTGATCCAGCTTATCACTTTACTTCAAGTATGCTTTTGTTGTTGAAGGCTCTGTACTATATCCACACTCAATATGACTGTCTCCTATGATGAGATGACTGGCTCTATGGATGCAGTGAGTGTAAATGACATAATATACCTTGACTTTAGCAAGACTTTTGATACAGTCTCTAGCAACATTCTTAGCAAGCAAGCTAAGGAACTCTGGGTTGAATGAATGGACTGCAAGATGGATAGAAAACTGGCTGGGTCATCATCAGTCTCAAAGGGTAGTAGTCAATGACTCAACTTCTAGTCGAGCCAGTATCGCAGCTCTGCAGAAAAGGACCTGAGGATCAAAAGTAAATAAGCTGAAAAAAGGAAGCTGAATATAAGCCAACAGTGTATCCTTGTTGCTAAGAAGGATAACAGCATGCTGGGTTGCATTAACAGAAATGTTACCAGCAGATTGAGGGACATGATTATCCCCTTTATTCGGCACTAGTGAGGCCACATCTAGAGTTCTGCATCCAGCACTTAATGAGTGTGGGTGAGCCACACAAAATCTTCCAAAGATATCATTTTAACAAATTATAGATAAAAAACAAATCATATACTAAAAATCAAACACCTACAATAACATAGTTTAATTTTATTTCAAAACATAATTTTTGTCTTGTTTTATGCTTTTTTGAGTAGCACGTATAGCCAAACAGCTCAAAAGAAAGTC